ATACAAGGTAAGAAAATACCAGCACAAGTCACTGTGCAGTAACTACCAATTGACCTACCAGCTAATGAGAACAGTATAGCTTATGGTAAGCTATTTTGCATTTATGTACTGGAGAATAGGATGTTGGACACCAGCAGCACTGGCAATATTGCATTCACGCGTTGCAGTGCAGGATTCGAGCTCTGTTTTGCCACGTGTTAATCTGAATTGTTTACCTAGCCTGGAGATTACAAAAACTGAGGTAAAACGACGTGTCGAGGCTGCCTGTGTAATTAAGCATAAACTACCTAGGAAAAAATCTCATCCTTCATTTTTCCACGGATACTTCAAGTCTGAACTTAAAGCACTGGAAAGATGCCACTGGAAAAGCTGAATGCTGTGACAACATGTAGATAAATCACTGTTAGTTTTAAATAAATAAAAAAAATTACAAAGACTTCTTTCTTCATCAAATACATCATAAAATCAACAAAAAACCTACCTAAAAAACTCCTCTGCATGCCTGGTGCTCTTCTCTCTTCCTTCACCTTCCCACACTTCCATGTCCCAGGAAAGGGGGCCTTAAGAGCGCGTAGGAGATGAAAGTTGGATTGTTTCTGGCTAAGGAGCTGTGAGAAGGTGTAGCTCCCATCAAGACTGGCAACAGGAAGTAGAAATTCCCTTGCACTGCATTGAACTTTGGAGTTTTCCCATGGAGGAAAAAACAGGGGAGGGGATTTTGTTGTTGTTTTGGTTTGTTTATTTCAAGGTAAATGGGTCCTGTGGCCACAGATGGTTCTTGAGGTAACTACCTAACACCTTAACTTTGGTCTGAACACCAGCAGAAGTCCTTATCTCTAACTCCTGTGTCTTTATCTAGGTAGCCCTTCTCGTATCTCATAAACTGTAGTATTCTCCAACAGGTTGTTTGTTTTTTTTAAATGTGAAGTTTTATTGCATTTATCTAATCTTGAAATAAGAAAAAATATGATAATGCCAGCAGCAGGCTCTGTACATGGCAGTTAAGGCCTTGCGCTGATCATAAAAAGCAAATTCAATTACTGCTATAATGTTCATATCTGATAGCAGCTGGGGAAAAAGGAGACCTGAAGGCTGATGGCTACTGAGAAACATTCTTTTAGTTAAAGCATTCACAATTGCTTCCAGCATTTCTGTTGACTTGCTCATAGGCGCGTACACCTGGATGTCACCAGCCTTCTGAAACCGCCTACAACAGGAGGGTAACAGTGTGCCGTACCACCCTTCTTTAGGGAAAGAAGAGACTATTCACTTACCCATTTACCTGAGGAAAAATACTGCTTCAGGACTGTTTGTGATTCACGCGTGGTGGACAAGACTGTAGGTGCTGTAACTGTGATGCAGCAGACATGGCCAGTAGATAAACACCTGAAATTAATTCATCTCTAGAAGGTGTTAACACATGAACATGGCACGGTCTAGATTCAGACCAAAAACTTTCAAAAGCATCAACAGTATTTGAATTCTGTGATGCCTGATAACTCCTTAAAACCTGTTTCCTTTGACATTAAGCCAAATTGACAGCTAACTTTCCAGCAGAAATCATACTACAGCTTCAAAGCAATAAGTAGAAGGCATAGTATTCATAGCCAAATAAAAAAAAAGGAAAGTATTTAAAGAAAAAAGGTTGTTCCAATGACCACCTCAGGTTCTTTAAATACTAATGCTAAGTCTTACCTGTCTACTCTGTATGCCAGGTGTATCCTGTCTGTATAATTGGATGCTTCATTCCAGCTTGAATGTTTTCCTGACACAGCAGTGAGTTGAAAAGAAGTCTTGCCTTTAAATCCTAGGATAGACTTCAACCATTAAACATCATCAGATCAGAACACAGGCACTTCTGTTTCTGATTGCTGTGCACAACCTCAGAAGAGATAGTGCCTTATTTTTGTTCACTATCAACATTGACTGATTGCTGAAGAAGTAGAAGATGGGGGTTTTAAGCATACCTTAGTCTGGAAGGAATTTGTTCTGTCTTCTAGGTATAAGAGAGCACAACAGCTCTGTGAGAAGGGTAGGGTCAACTCTTCACCCATCTCTCCTCTTGGAACTGGCCAACAAAAAGGTATTTTCCACCTTTGAGCTAAATCTGGTAAGTTTTTTTTGGTAAGGTATATTCCATGTGCCTTGAGTTACTGTTCTTCAGGCAGGTAGGCTGGATGGGCCTCAATCCTGTTTCATAAAGTATTCAGTATTTTGTTTAACTCTTAGTGAAGGCATGGGTATCTCTGTCTTGGGCTTCACCCTAAGTATCAAATAGTCATGGTTATGTGTGGAAAAGATATAAATCATTATATTGTAGGATGTATTGCATCAGTGTTCCATAGATTAATTACCATAGATAATCTATTATATTTTTCTTTAAGTAGATAACTTCCATTGATCTGTAATGCCTGTACATGCTGTTTCTTTATGTACCGCTATGTGGACTTTTCTTCTGAAAAGGCAGCATTCTAGTGATAAGCAAAGGTATCTGTTGTACTCAGGGCAGGTGGTAGCTCTGCTAGGCACCCAGGAAATCTCCCTGCATTGAAACCAGGGTTTAGAGGGGTTTCATTTCGCACTTTTCAGTATGAGATGAAAATGGTGTCTCATAGGCCACTCTTAGTGTAACATAGCTGAAAAAGGCAAAAAGCAGTGAGAAAACAGGAAAGAAGGAAAAGCAATCTCAGAAAACATAGAAAGGAAAAAAATGGCCAGCAATTAGATAGATAAAACTAAACTGAGATATTATAAATAAAATTTCCCTACTTTGTCTCTTGCTCATACTGTTCAAAAGCCAGCAGGGAAAAAGACATTTTTTTCACAGAATATATTTGAATCATGCACAGCCAGAAGATAAGTTCTACCTCTAAGCTTATAAACTTCCCTACATCTTGTAATTTACAACTGCTTGTACTGTTGTGCATTTTGCTCCTGGATCATGGGTAATCACTACTCTTACTAGTTCACTAAAAGTAGTCAAAACCTCTTGAGCGCAGCGTACACACTTCTAATGGTTCCAAGTCCCATGGTCCTACAGGTTCAGATAGCATGTGTTCCATTTGTACAGTCACAAAATTACTACCCTAGCTAAACAGCCCCATGTTTGTATAGCTGAGAACTGCAGCTGGCCTCTGGCCTGTCCCCACCGGAGAACTCAGGTACAGACATACCGGGGCTGTCAGCCACTGCCACAGAGGTGGGAGTAGCACTGAGCACGTGCTGCCTGAGCCTGTGGAGGCACTGAATTGACCACTGCTAAATATGCGTCATCCAAGTCAACGTGTGCTGTGAAAGAGACTATGATATGAGGATATCCAGAAATTAAGAATATTAAGAAATATTAGCCATTGTTTACTTCAGATGTACCTGTTTTCTTCTACCATCTGATTTACACTCTCTACCTTCAACCTATCCAGGATAGCATTCTGCATTTTAATCAAGTGATGCGGTCAACTACTACAGTTAGTGCCATCAGCAGCTTTTTATTTGCTACATGTAACTAAAAATACAATGCTGAAAGACATATTTCTGCACAAGATATATATAGTCAAGCATATTTTTATTTTCCACTGTAATGAGAAATATTTCCACATTCACTATAGAATTAAAAAAAAATGTGCAGATGTATTTTGACAACAACAGTAGTGAGGAGCTGTCAACTAAAGAAAGTGAGAAGTCTTTCTCAGGTGCACCACGTTTTGGTAAAATACCATAGTATATCAGGTTTTGTTGAATATAAATGAAATGCTTTCAGCCTTAACTTTGTAAATAGATTTAAATTATCCATTCATCTCAATTACTACTAAAAGCAAGTAGAGCTTAAAATGCAATTGATACATTAAGTTAATTTTTCCTTTTAACATGTCTGAAATATGAATGTATATGTGTATTGACTTATACTGAAGGATTGCCGGCGATATGTTGCTTATGCTTCTTAATGTTCAGTACATGAAGAGCAGCAGTGCTTACCCAAGGAATTTATACTTAACTGGACAAAAAACATCCACATGAAGTATAATAAAGTGTTGCATTTGCAAACCTTCTGGTAACAAACGAATCATTTGTAGTGGCTGAGCCATCTAATAACATATAATCAATTAATCTGACAGATCCGGAATCTTACATATGACTAAATCTTTTTTCAACTCAATCCTTTATATATTCCAAATCTTTATTTTTCTTAAGTTCTTTGTTATATCTAATGGTGGCAAAAATAAGAGAAGCATCTGGAGTTATAAAGCAGTGCAGAAGGAAGGGGACTGAGCATTATGAACCTTAGAAGCATCTGGAGATGAGAGACTTGTTCAGCAGCGTTCCTCCAAAGCAAAGGACAGGGCGCAGTGGTCATCAATCTCCCACACAAAGACCACTTTGCTTCCATGCTACGGTATATTCAGAAGTGTGTTGTCTGCTTTATCTGCTCATGGGTATTAGTGCCTTTTCTCTAGAAGGAAACAGCAGAGATGGTGTTCAGTCTCACAACATTTTGTATGGTCTTTTTACACTGTTGGAAGTCTAAACTGTTTTGTTTGCAGATGGCATTCTCTCCCATTTGTTCCTCCTAGCCATTGTCTTTCTCCTGAGCATGGGAGGTCTCTCCTGGAATACAGTAGCTAGCAGTAGTTACAGCATACCCCATTTCACTCTTTTATACTCTTCAAAGCTGCGAAACACACTACAGTAAAGTACTTTGAGATGCAAGGATGAATGCCTGCTATAGCAGTGCCACTGTGACTTGGGGAGGATTTGGCATCTCCTCACAGAAACAGGAGGCATCCTCAGGCTTGTGCTATCTTTGTTGGCAGCTGTAGACTGGTGCATTGTAAATCCTTATTTGACTGTCACTGGAGCCCATTTGGAACTACAGTCACTTACATGCAATTGTATGATCTTACTTAGCTAATACGAATAATCTCATCATTATTAGAGTTTATTGCTGAATTATAGTAATTCTTTTTAGGAGAGTATGAACACTATCAAGGGTAGGATTCACTTGCCTTCTGGTATCCTGTTTGGTACCTGCTCAAATCTCCATGTCGCTTTTGTCTCAGAGTTCCTGCATCACGTCAGCCCACTCTGTCTGGATGTCTCTGACACCTTCAGAGGGCATCTGGAACAGCTGCTGCAAGCTCTTGTATAGACATCTGAATCTCACTGTAAGCAGGCAGAAACATTTTTATATTAACAACTTTTCCTCTTCAAATAGTCTGAGCAGAAGCTTGAGTTCAGGATTTTGACAAGAACTAAATTACTCCTAAATACAGTCATTCTCTACTTCTGGCTTACAGAAGTGTGTTAGTATTTCACATTCAAAAAATTCATTGTGTAGGACAGACCACAGAGTAAGGGGGTGAGGAAGTAAGCTGAAAAATTACTGGTGTAGGGGCAAAGTAGATGCTACACAAAGTTGAGTAATTGTCCAAATTTAGACATAGTGGTCTGATTAAAGAAACAACAGTAATTGAAGATAAATTCAGTATGTTTGGAAATAACATTTTACCATTCTAACCATCTCTCAGATTCTTATATTTTTATTATTTTTAGTTTGAAAGGTTTTGTGCTTGCTCTCTGATTATAACTGAAGTACAAGGAAATATAACACATTTCCCGCGTATATTCAGATGACTTGAGCAGATCTAGTTCACATGTAGATATTCGGATTCAACTAGAACATGAGAAATTTCCATGTACATACATTACAATTTTTCTTGTAACTTAGAAAAGTTAAGGCCACTTTCTCTAATACGCAGTTGCAAGTTACAGAATTCATTGTATAATTTGTAAATAAGGTGATCACTGAAGTGTTAACATTATCTTTTATGCTATTGTATTGGTTAAAATATATTTGAAAGTTTCACAGGCAGCTTTCTTCACCTTTGGGGTGTTTATGTAATCTGTTAGACTAGGAAAGAAAGGTTATTACAGTTATTGTAGTGACTACAGGATTTTGTTTTCACAGAACCGATGTGATAATTCTCTCAGTTTTTTAGCCCTCCCTCCCTTCTGCATCCAGATCATGCAAAGGTAGGTATCCCAGAGAACATACTCCACTATCCAGTTTGTGTAACAATACTGTTTTATGTATTAACAAATATTTGGTCTTGCATAACAATATGCTTAAAAGACAACAGGTTGTGTCAGGGACTATAAAGAAAACAATGCTCAAGGCAAGGCAGGAAAAAGTTCTCTTGAGTTTTCATAATTTTCTTTTGATTAAAGAAAGTCAGCATGAAACCAGGTGTTAGGTGATCTAAAATAGGCAGCCTTTCTTGTACCCACCCTAGCAAGGCAAGGGCTGGAAAGTCCCTGTTACTTGGGAAGCTTGCAGACCACTTGCTTCTCTTTTAGAGGAGAAGAGGAGGCACTACTGGACTTAAAGAATTTCCCCATCTCCAGAAATTTTCTACTTGCTTTACGTGGCCAAATTTCATGCCAGAAAAAAGGTTTTAACAAGCCAGTTCAAATGCATACATCTCCACTTCAGTTTTCCTCTCATGTAGTCTATTTATAGTCATCCATCTGATTTTAATTAGAGGTGTAGCTGATCTTTTGTCCCCTTTTGAAGTTTGTACACACCTGTCTTACAGGTTAGTGAAGTCACTCATCCCTCTGGCTACAGACTGATCTTGGTACCACTGGAGATGCTTGTCAGAGTAAGTAGAGCTCTGTGTCAGATTGACCACAGGTGATTAGTAAGGGAGTCATGGTAGTATTCTCTCAGGCTTGTACCTGAGATGTTACGTCGATATGCTCACAATTTTGTTTCAGTAGTAAAGTTCTGGGGAGGTCTGTTAAAACCCTCTCAAAAAAAAAAAAAAAAAAAAAAAAGAACACACACAAGCTGGGAACTTTATTTAATTAGGAGACTGAAACACAAAGACTAATTTGATAACTTGTTATTGCACATACAAAATAGTAGATAGTAATGTTGTAAGGTAAGTGAACTGTACCAATATTATGACTAAAATGACCAGTTTTGCATATAGTATTGATATAAGTCTCTTGTTTTATCTTCAGACACTAGATGTAGAAGCTGATGAAAGAGTTACTTACATTATTTCATACTTTTTCCTCACAAGAGCCAAGAAACTGCTGTCATTTGGCTGTTTATGATCAAGAATTTTGTTACACGTGAAATCGTTATTCATGTCTTCTTACAGACTTTAGTTATCCTTGCTTCATTTTAGCTGAAAATGACATCTATGCACAACAGTTGCAGGTCATAAATGATCATATGTAGTAAGTGGTAATCTTTCAAAATCAATTTGATCTCAGTTCATGAAATAATTTTTAAATGCATTACATATTCCCTCATTTTTGAAACTTAAAATTCTAAAATAATTACTGAATTCCCTGTGTGGCATTGGACTAAGGGATTTCAAGAGGTGCCTTCCAACCTAGACACTTAGGTCACTGTACAATTACAAGAAGTTGTGTTTTTTTTTTAACATCTGTAATTTTGACCTTTCTGGTGGTGTTTGTTAGTGCAATTTCATAGATAAATGTACACATTAAGTCCAAATTGTACAGTTGTGTAGCTCTATATGAAAATATAATACGCCTTAAACTAGAATGTGATCTCATTGCTTGTCATTAATTGTCAGCTTACCTAAAATTGCTTTCCATATGACCTACCTGTCCCCTTACTTAAAAAGGGGAAGTTCCTATGTCAGTGTGGACCACAAACAAGTAGAGAAGCGTTTGGAGAGATTTCTCCAGCTTCTTCTGAAACATGAAGTATTTTGCTTCTCCTCTGAAAAAATTACACGATAGAACAAAATTAGGAAGAAGGCTCTCACATCCTCTGCAACATTGCCTCAGCAAAGCCAGCCTGTTGGGCCATGCGCAGAAAACAGCCAAGCAGTAAGACTGAGATTGTATTGACAAGAACAAGATGAATGGCCCCCTGGAGACTACAGGGTTTGTATGCTAGTTTCCACCACCTTTTCATCCTTTTGTACCCCCTTTCAGTTCATATGCAGATTAACTCAAACCCAGTCCTCACTAAATACTCTTTCTCACTTTAGTTTTGGAAAGTAGATGGAGGATCTAAATATTTATGAGGCTTTTTTCCTCTGGTTTATGATGCACTCTTGTTGAATGTTGAGGAATTACGTTAATGAATGCATGCCTGCACACACAGACACAGAAACCAGGCAAAAGGAAAAAAACACACAAAGCGTTGTCAGCCCTAATGTCGGCACTTACTAAACAGTTCCCATGAAAAAAAAAAAAAGCAAAGAGATTTAAAATCTGTTGCCAGGAGAAAAATAAATTGTACAGCTGAGCACAAAAGAAAAGAACAAAGTTTCATCTTTGCTTTCCTCAGCTGCAAATGTAACTCATTTCAACTGAGAATAAATTTGAAATAAAACATTTTAATTGAAAAATGAACGCTTGTCAAAAAAATCTTAACTGGATTTGTGTTTCCAGTAATGAAAAAGCAAAGCTTCAGTGCTGTACAGAGTTTCCTTTAATGTCATGAGCAATAAACATGCATTTTGTTTGTATGATACAAGATGCAGATAAGTAATCAGGGTTACAAGTCAAATGACTAAATGAAGCTTTCTGCAATGGCTTTGATGATTTTAGTTGATTTATTTAGGAGGAGGTTTAGATATTGTGAGACTTGGGGGTGGGCTGGAAACTACACTAGATATTTTTAAATTAAATATAGGGTATACTGAGGCTATAGCAAGATATGCTAGAATATGATTTTATTTTTAAAATAGCTCAAAATTATAAATTAAACTTTTTTTGGATAGATGAAAGAATATATTGCATTAAAATGCTAGAACTGAAATAGACATAATTCTTTTAATGCCACACTATCAAGAATCTTATTTTCAACCCTTAATCATCTCTACCCTTCTGTTAGCCCCTTCTTCCCCCTCTGATGCATGCTTAGCTGTGGTAAACAAGGCCTTGCTATAGAAGTGAGACAGCAATTCTACAATTTCCTTTCACAATCACGAACCAGAACATGAGGATTTTAAAATGTGCTTTTGTGCTATCATTTAAAAACTTACTGAAGCGACTGCAGAATGTTAACTCTTAGCTCTAAGTGCAATAGTAGTTCACTGTCTAGTCTGGTTTTGATTTTTATAATAAGCCTATCTACATTTGATAAAACATTGCCCTAATAAATATATTAATGTTTTTATTGTACTATGGTTTTGGGTTGTTGAATTTCATATGTAATTAAATCCAATAAAGCATCTACATTTCATTTATTCTGAAGTTATTATTTATGTGAACTTCAAATATTAACTTCACTATTTCCATTGCCTTTGCCTGTGATATCTAAGCATTGAGTGAAACAAAAATTTTGCACGGGAAAATGAAGAATTTGCAAAGGTAACGTAAGCCCAAACTAGACATTGTATACACTCATCCATCAGCTGAATGCCAGTCCAGCACCTTGACGTTAAAGACAAGCCTCTCAGGAGATTATTTAGAAAGAGATGTGTGAGGAGCCAGAGAGTCTTGTCTAGACCAACAGGACTTGAGGCCTACATATTAGCTAGTTCACATTCTTTATGTGGAAGACAGGACAGAAACTAGGTACCTGTTTTCTTCCTCTGAAACTCATTTGCATCCACAGATTTCTGACTAAGAGTAACCTTTGCTTTCAGAAGATGAAAGTGCACAAAAGCAATCACACAAATAGCACAGTAGTGCTTTCAGTGGATTCTTAAGGGCAAGACCTTCTGTCTTGTGACATTTTCCTTCAAGGATAAACAAGGACCGAGTGCATTCCTCACTTCTCTGAATCAGAGAATCCTACAATGGATTCAGAATTTAGGTCCCAATGCAAAATCCTAATTCTTAAGAAAAAAAGTAGGTCATTGAGTTGGTTGTTTCTAAGGACCAAACACAGTGCTGTCAGGATTGCCAGACTGGTTAAGATTTAGAGCAGTAGAAATTCCCCCTGAATTGTTTGCTAGGTGAAGAATTAACTTCACACCTCTGCGTGTTTTTCATTGTTCAAAGAATTTCCATCAAATTCTGAAATCACAATATGCTTAAGAATGAACAAAAGTGTGGGAAATTGCAGGTAAGCTCTCTCAACATTCATCCTGCACGGCAAACACTAAAAATGAGCAATCTTCCTTTTTTCCTAAGGCTGACTCTGAAGTGTTGCCACATTTTATCTGAAGGCAGCGGGGTGCAGCCATGTGTTTTCAAGAAAGTACTTTCTGGAGTCTGCTGAATCTTTAGGCTGGGATTTTTCCAAATGGATTCCTGCATAAATTTACCTTTTTTCTTTCCCAAAAGATATTTCCTACAGCTGAATCACAGCACTTAAAAGGGAATCTGGCACTCCACCTAAACTGTGAGAAGTCTAGCTGTTTCCATACCAATGTAACAGAATCATCCCACGGATTGGAAGGTATTACCTCCATGGATGGCACGCAACTGAACAGGATTTTTCTTTTTTGATTTTGATATACATCCTTAGAGTATTCATCCTTGGTGCCTAAACAAAGGATTTAGGTATATAAGGTGAGATTTGGCAGATTTTTTTTTTGTACTCAGATGCTTAAATTTCTGCTGATGATGGATGGACCTGGAGCTCCTTGCAGACAGAATGCCTACAAAGTGCTGAAGCCACGACTAGCAAAGTGTTTAGAAACTTAGCATAAGATGTACTAAGACATGTTTCGCTAAAGACATTTTCTCCGAACGTTAAAAAGAGATGGGTGGATTTGTTCATCATCTTTGATATTATCAGCATAGCAGGTCTGCAAGTTTTCTCAAGTTACTGTAGATTTGTGCTTTCCCCCCCTCATCTTCAAGTAGTACATAATCAGTGTTTTCAGATTCATAGCTCATGCTCACAGGCATGGTTGTTAGCACACGCTGCAAATCTAATTTCTAGGAATGTTATTCGGACACCTAACCTTCACAAGTTAATTGATGAAGGAACCTGAGCCCACCTGCAGCCATGAAGATGCATTAGTTTTGGTACAGAGCTCCTGTAATGAGTGAGTGTTGTAACACCAAGGCTGCAGGATGCTGGTGGAATAACACAGATCAGTCCTCCCTTTTACACAAATCAACTCCAGATTTCTTCACAAGTCCTCAAGAACCGTTTCTCTTCTGGTCAAGCAGCTTCCAATATCAACAGTGCCTGCTTAGCAAAGCTACTGTGAATTTGGGAGAGTTTTTCTCTCCAAGCACATTTTTCTTACCTAATTTTCTCCTATTTCTCCATGTAAAGGGGGCAGGGCAGAAGACCAGACTTCTGCTTGATAACTATTTTCTTTACCTGTTATTTTTGTATTGCAGAATCTGCAAGCTTTATGAATACAAAATTATTATTTGAAAGGTGAAAGAAAGTGCTGGCAAAACATGGAGGTTTATGTGAAGAAAAATGCAAAACCAACTAGTATGGGGACTGTACTGTTATTTCAATAATATGTATTCCCTATATCAAAACATAATAATTTACCACCATTCTATTTCTGCTATTTTTATGCAATTACCATGGATAATTTGTTGTTCAGGGATATTCTACGGTAATTTTTGAGAATTCTTGTTTTAAAAACTATTGAATATCAGGAATTAGACCTATGAAGGAAGCTTACATAAAGCTCAAGCATCATTCCTTCCTAAAGATCATGTAGTGTTTCTAAACCATGTGAACTGAATTTGTTTGCATAAATGTATTTCCACCAAATGTCAATGCTCATAAGTTGAGTACTAATTACATGATCTAATTTGAGAGCTTTTAACAAGTATTTCTGATTCAGTTATCTTTTGCTTTCTGTAATTTGTCTTCTTTGGCTTTTACAAAATATTAAAACCATCCTCAAAGCTGAAAACAGAAGAAAGAGCTTAATATTTTGTGATGTTTACGTGAAGAAAATAAAGAGGGCTGTTTGTTTTGTGCTGTTTTGTTTTTAAACATTTAGTTGTTCTACCAGGGTGATTTTAAGAATGTCATAAAAGAGGGAAATGATCCAGGAAAGGCACTGCAATGAGACAAAAGGTATCTGTACTCAATGGCAACTTCTGATACAGACTTTCTGGCTGCATCTATTCTAAGAAATGAAACAAACAGGAGCAGGATCCAAGTGCAAAAGCAAGGCCAGCCACCCTGGGCTAGCCATGTTCACTCTGTTGAGCTTTCATCCAACGTGCTGTGGGCACGACCAAACTGTGCCTAGCAAGCCTTTGGGGAGCATTGGTTGGCCTGGGGGGAAACCTGTCCGAAGGGCTGCTCCAGCACTTGAGCAGTACCAACACCTGGACACACTCCCTGGCACTGCTTAATTTCTTAGCACAGATGTAATCCTGTGCCAATTTCAGCAAGTGTGGAATTATTCTATCCCGAAGTCCCCCATTAGCGAGGAATAACTGTTTTTCCTTTCCTCCTCCTCTTATCTGCTATGTCTACTTGGATTATATGATGTCACTGGTAAAAATCATCTCTTTATGTGAACTATTGCAGTGTCAGGATTCTGCATTAAGGTTATTACACAGAATACTAATTAGAAAGTAGCAAAAAGATTGCCAAAATTTAGAAAAGCCTAATGAAAGAGAAGAAACTCTTCAGCCCCCCACACAGTGACACAAATATATAGCATATTTACACATTCACATTAATATACAGTAGTGTACTAAAATATACTGTGCAAAAGAGTTCTGCAATACACTGTGTTATCTTAATGCTGTCAGCAGAATGACAAGCTATTACACAGCTATTTGACAGAAATGTTATAGTTCATTAGAAAAACTTATTCTTGCATCATAAATTACTGTTCTAAAAATCCGGACGTGCTTCCACATAGGCATATAGGGCACGTCACTCAAAACTGACACTGTTTTGTAATGAAAATACTAGTAGCTAGTCTCTTCCTGTCACTCTTAAGTTATCTTTTAAGACCGGGTTGCATACTGTATCATTTAAATTATAGCATGGAAAAAATGTTTATGAAGGACGAAGCTAGTCATCAAGCTGAGGAACAGCACAAGAAAAGCAGAACCCAAGCACAGGACAGGTGTTTTAATGACTGCACACTTGAGATTGAATTTCCTTCTAACAGCAGTAACTGTACAAAGTAAGAAAGACAGTAACAAAAATGGTAAAGGACAACAAGAGAGACTCTCACAGAGAGAGAGCCTGCACACCGATAACATCAAAAAACAAGGTTGTGAATTAGAAGCTTTAAACCAGGAATTCAGAAACCTATAAATCCTTTTTCTTTCCTTCTAGTAATTATTGTTCCATGTAAAATTGGGTGAGAGACCCAAGAAATAGCTGAAGTAACTGCCTATCGCACTTCAGAAATGCAGTCTACAAATACCCCAGGCTTCCTCTGGGTTTACCACTGCCTCCATCCTAAGCATCCATTTAGTACCAGCTGACAACATTTTCAGGAACAAATGAATTGAATAAAAAACAGTTTGTGTCAGAACTCCTTCAAGCAATGGCAAATTATGCAACTCTGCAAACTGAAAGTGTATATCTTCCCTTGGTCCAGGGAAAATTAAAAAAAAAAAAAAAAAAAAAAAAAAAAAGAGCCAAACACTTATTAAGGCCCTTCAGACCTGATTAAAGTCAAATTGCAGGAAACGTTTACTTTAATATAAAATACGCACAGTAACACAACCTTAATTAGACACACACATCTCTCAAGATATCAATAAATGTTTCCTTTTTGATACGTCTGATTTAATAGACTGTAATAACAGGGGAATGCTTCTGAAACATAATTTAGGGAAGTGGGAGAAATAAACAAGCTCAAATGTTTAAGCCTCAACACCAATTAGCAGACCATTCTTTTCAAAGAAATAGCTGAATTTCAAGTTTGTTTAGCTTCAGCCAAACAGAACAAAGGCTTAGTTTTTAGAATAGTTGGTTTTGAAACTTGAGATGCAGCTTCTGGGTGTTGGTATGTTAGTTTACAGAAGGCTACACAAGCAGCAAAATGTGTTAGATGCTTTAGGTCTCACCAGTGAGTTAGAAAATAGATTTGAAGATGGGCCTCAACATCTGAAGGGCTGGTTTTTTGTTGTTGTTGGTTTTGATCTACCTTTGCATGAAGCAGAAACCGAGAGGTCAAAAATGGGATCCTTTATCTCACAGAACTCTCTGTAATAGCATGATGCTCTGCTGAACTGTGAGCGCTCTCGGCTGGGTTGCCACCTTATGAAACCATGAAACAAACAATATACAGCGTACGTTCTTAGAAATCTCAAGTAAGGCTCCTGCACTTATTCACAGAAGTACTTGCACTCCCTTTTTGGCTATTGACACCGCCAAAAAACAATCCACCACTTCCGCAGTTTGCTTGAAACTGACAAAAACAAATTTCCAGTGTCTCTTCCCAGACAGGTCTCTATTCTAATTTAGACACAGAGCTTTTGATTTGTGCGCTGAACAATGGCTTGCTGATTATATTTTGGAAGCAATGACAAGGAAAAACTATCACAAACAAAGAGCTGGTAGATGAGAAGACTCAACATGTCCTCAGACACAGGAAGGCCTAGCAGGGAGGGTTTGTGTCTAGAGCCAGCAATGGGTGTGAAATAAAGCAGCAACCTGATACTTAAAGCTCAACTCCTATGATAATTGCTCAGTGAACAAGCCCCAGGGTGTCGAACAAGATCTCTTTCCCCCAAGATCATGTTCTTGCCAACCAGGAACAGGAGAATGTGTAGTCCTGCAAGCTCAACTCGTGCCAGCGCTTACCTGGATCTGCACCATTCCTGTTCCACTTTGTCCATTTTCCTGAGCATTGGTGGGCTCTGATTTTTCCTGTGTGGAAGTGAAAAGCCTCAGTTATTCTCCTGTCACAGGATGTCAAGCAAATCACTACAGTTGTCCAGTTTCTTGTAAGTCAGAAGCAAGAACATGAGTGTGAAGCCAGCAGTGGGTTTACACCGCATTTGGTTCATAAAACCAGGTAACACTATTTTCTGTACTAGAGGGAAGAGTCAAGCCCACCTGACATCAGCGGGCATTTTGATTAACTGATGCAAGGATTTCCTCCCTCATTTTCCAGAAGAACAATTAAGATATATTTTAGGTTTCTTTACAAGACATAACTTTTAATTCCAATGTCAGTATTTGAAAGGCTTCAAAATTGTCTCATATAAGCGGTGGCTGACAGGCATTTTATTTGTAGTAATTTTTCTGTTGCATCATATATTTAAACATGGTGAAATAAGAGTCCACGATAAACAGCAATAGGCAACACAGAACTGGCAACACAATAAAACCTCACAATATCATTAGCTGCAAATAAACAGTCTCAAGCTCAGCATTTTGTATTTCTTCATGACATGACTAGCTGTTTAAAGAAACAAAATCAAAAGCACAAAATCACTTCAAAAAGCACATGCATATACAAACTGGGACACTCAATCTTACTATGAAAGAAGAAAATTGAAATGTTTGTATATTGCTGCATTACTGACTAAGCCGCACAGAAACCGACACACAACAAAACTTCTGCTACAGCAGAAGCAGTGGCACTCCCCAGGCTGTCTCTGTACATGTAGTAGGGGAGGTTGAATGTCACATTACATCCTACTGGGAAACACCTCTGAAATAACTTGGATGCGGTGCTGGACTGCACACACATTTCCCTTCAGTCTACTAGGACACAGGAGTGGTCAATGCCTTTGGTGACAGTAGGCAGACAAAAAGAGGAGCTGCAGCTTAGGTACTGCTCACTGCTGGTCTCTCCTTCAAAGATATTGGAGGAAGAAAAAGGCACCACTGGTTGATGCTTTTATTTCTCAAAGCTAAATGAAAAATAACATGAACGGAGAACATAACCCAGGATCAGAATGCAGAGGTTTCTCCTCCTCCCCACCAGACTAGTGAGCTCTTCCAAAATTTGAAAAACACTGAGGTTTTACCACCTTTCAGAGAAAGTCTCAGTCTCAGCAGATGGGAAGTAGGCCTTTTTTCCCTGCTGCCAGAAAACACAGCTATTCATCAGAAGCTGTGACGCATCTAAGAAAAAGGAGAGTGAATTGCAAAGAGCAGACAGAAAGAAAGCAGCAAGCTGCTCCAGGGGCTCCAGAGCACCTGCAGGAGAAAGCTCTCCCTGAAACAAGGAGGCAGATGAGCATCTGCGCATATCAGGGCAGGAGCTCAGGGGAGGAGGAAGGCATTTAGTATACAGCTCTAAGGGAGCCCCAGACTCAAAAGCAGCAAAAATGTAGTATGGGAGTAGAGAAATTTAAAGAACTCAAACAAGTAACAAACTGAACCCAAGAGGAATTCGGGGGGCGGTGGCGAAGGATGCTAAGCGTGAATGGGACAGAGTGGCTACAGCAAGCATGTGATAAACAGAATGCCAGGGGCATGACAGCATGCGCTGGGGAAAAGAAAGTTTGTAACTTCAGATATTTTAAGAATGCATTCATTCACTGAAAACAGCACAAAGCTCACGATGTCCAGGGCTTCAGGGAACCATTTGTCCCTGAAAAAGTTAACTCACTTTTTCCCTAAAAGTTACTTTTTTTGGTGTTAGGCCATACGCTGGTACACACCCCAAGTCTTTTCTCTGTGTTGCCCCTACTGTGCTGACTGTACCAGGCCAGCAGCTTTCCAGCTGAACACTTCTTTTGTACTGCCACTTACTAGCAAGCTCTTAAATAAACTCTATTGAATGCCGGATATAGGTCAGGATATAGTATTCAAAAAAGCAGTAGCCCTCTATTCTCTGCTACTCCTCTGTATCTTATGTTGGGCAGACAATCTGGTGTATCTCACCTTCCCTGCTCTCTCACCAAGGAGAAACACTTTCCCTCCCTCCTCTAATGCTATGTTCCTCCCCCTGTCCTACAGCACACATCTCAATCTTCAAGTTCTCTTTTTTCCATGCCTTCATCCTCCCCTCACCCACCACCTTCCCACAGCCAGGCTCATCTCCAGAGCAGGTACACCTCAGCTTTCCTCCCTCCTTCTTCACAGCTCACCTCCTCAACCCCCTTCTTGCCTCTGGCCTCCAGGTGATCCCTATAAAGCCTCTCAGACTGCGATGTCCTCCTTATTCCTTTCACCTGTTACTCAGCTGCACACATGTCATTCAAGCAATCAAATCTACTCATTTTGTTGGTCTGCTCTGTCTCCTTTAATTTATCTCAGAGCTCCTGGCTTTCCAAGCTTCCTGCATATTTCTTTCTTCCCAAATTACCCAGACATCTCCTTTTGAGCCACACCCCCTAAGCTGTGCTGCTCTAACCAGCCTCTTTTTTCCACGTCTCCCTGTCTCACAGTAATACCCACCTTTTTCTCCTGGCTGATGCTCTTGTAATGCGTATTTTGACCTGAGCAACGTCACACTATTTCCATTGCTGTGGCTCTCCATTTTGCTGTGTTGTGCAGACACATGAATACAGAGGTTTCAATTAGCGTGTAAGCTTGCCAGGGCAAGCATCATTCTTGCCTGAACTATAAAGGACTTTTTAAGCACATCGCAATAAATGCAGAGATTTCAACACTGTCTTATTTCCAGAGGCCTTGTTTTGTGGAAAGTAGAGCTCAGTGCTTCCTCTCCTCCCCTCTTTCATTTCCGTTCCTCAGATCCATTCAGATGTTGTGGCACATGTATGACTTCACCAGAGCCCTTCTGCAAGTCTGCAAAATTGCATCAGGCCCAAAGAAATGTAGAGGTTTCTAGGGTGCATCACAGACCAGAAGAACAAATAATGTAAGACGTGTCAATCACCTATGAAACAGCTAACACTGTGCATCTCATCCCACTGTTAGTAAGGTCTGTATCCTTGCTCTGCTGGGTACGGAGAGAAAAACATTTCAGTGAAACATCTGCAGAGGTGTAGTTTGTATAATCAAATTACACAGTGTTGTAAAATGGAAGCATAATTTTAAAAGCTTTATTTTTTTTTTCCAAGGTTTTTCCTTTTACATGTAAAGGATCAATTTCTTCTGATAATACATTTGCAGAAAGTTGATTGCTCTCCAGTTACTGCAGCCCCCTCTGTGCATCAAATGGGATTCTGATACCATATTCGGTTCTTCTGTTTTTCCAATTGCATTGCTCACATATCCCTTTAAGTTTTGCTCCCAATTACGTACATACTGCCCCATAAGAACAGATGGAGTTTATGCACAACTGGCTTTTTTTTCCCTCAATAGCCAATCAAACCAAGCATCCAGACAAGAGAAAATTGCTGAAATTCTCAATTCTTTCGGTAGGTTTAAATATTTTATGTTACCATTCGTTGATCATGCAACACCCATGGTCACAAGCAGCTGTTGGCTGCATATGGGAGTCAGACAAACTCCTTTCTTACACTACTGCACAAAAGCAGGCATAAGCACAGAACAAAGTCAGCCCAAGGAGCACCAGGGCAGCCTTGTGTGCAGGATGAGCTCCCTGCCCCCTCCCAGCAGGGCAGAAGGAGTCTGTAGTAGAGGACGTCCTGTACCATGCACCCCCAGTGCTCAGGGACAGATAGGACAAAACCAAGATTTCCCAGCTGGGCATAAACAAAGGGGAGCTGTGGCTGAAATTCAGCTCTGGCAACTTACAGGAAGATTGCGAGCGGTTCCTAATAAGCAGAAGTCTCCCTGGCAGTTGTGTCATACGTGTATGCAGATAATCCAGCCATTTGGAAAAACTGCAGAACAGGTATATTTAAGGCTCCTGAAACTCATGAATTTATTCCTAATCATCAGAAGACATGCTTATACACTGCACAGCTTCATTATTATGGCTCCGCTTTTCAGATTTCTACCTTAAATCTCAGCTGCTTGTTTCAGTCCATCCAGCTCTAAAAATGCTGGAAAAGATGAATAAATCCTACCTTATACTCTTCACCATTCCTGACTATCAAAAATTCAAACCTAACCGTAACAAATACAACACTTACTTAATTGCAAGCTTTCATAAGGAGCACTGCTCAGTCCTTCTGAACATGCCAGGAATCCCAGAAAACAACTTTAACAAATTTAGGAAATTTTTAAAAATTACTCTTTCTAGCTCGTTTGTTGCCTTTTTTCTACCCTTATGAAGTACTGAGCTGTAAGAAGGAGGGCTCCCAGGGAGCACTCAGGAATTCATGTCACTACTGAGTCTGAATTACAGATATCACTATGCTGGGCTATTTTATTTTTCCCAGGCTCAGAATTACCACTTTTTTAGGTAGGTTGCTTTTCTTAAAGGTGGAAAAGAGGAACATAGGAAAGAAATAACAGCAGAGTCAACAAAGTGTCTATCTATCACTGGGAAAAGAAAAGGGAAAAGAAAAAGAAAAACAAAACAAAACAAAACAAAACAAAAAACAGCAGACAGCAGTGAATTTCAATCAGAAAAGAAGTTGGGTTGACTCATCTTGACTCTTCCTGGATTTTCTCTTCTTAGCTGAGATCAAGTTCCTCCAGTTCAGAACTCTGCAGGTTTCCTTTCCTATTCCACTTTCTCTCACACATTCATCTCTCTTCTCCTGTCTACCTTCTTTGTCTCAGCTCAGTCCCAGCTTTGAACTTTCTTTCAAGGTATCACAACTTTACTTTAAAAAAAAAAAGAAAGAAAAAAAGAAAAAGGTTTTCTTCTATGAATCTCAAGCCATCTAAGCGATTAACACAATACAGTTCAACTACTATAGACTGGTTTTCAACCAGTACTTAACCCAGAGCTCACTATTTCTGATTCAGACCTGAAATCAAAAAACATTTTTTTAAAAACACCAATCAGTCAAGGAAAAGAGATTTACTACCTCTCTCTTAAAAGAAGCTACTCCTTTGTGAATGCTACTACCGGTGTGCTCTTGGTCCAGGTTTTGTGTATTGCTGTCCTATGTTGTATATTGTTTGCTGTCCTGTGTTGTATATTGTTTTTCTCTTATTTGCTTTGTAAATTACTCAAAACCACCACCTTCCCTATGTAAAGGATTTTATCAAGGACGTTCTACAAATAATACTGTAGGGGAACAGCTTAGTCATTTCTTTGCTAAAGTTCAGCACAGCATTTTACTTACTCATTTCATAATAGTGACTTGTTTAGGACTAGACTGATCCAAAAGCCACATTCTTCAAAGTTCATATCTAGATTTTAGGGAAAAAAAAAAAAAAAAAAAAAAAAAAAATTCAAGGCAAACTCCAATCTCTGGATGCGGATTTTTTATTTTTTATTTTTTTTACAATAGCCTTTAACACATTGTAGTTCATGCATCGTATTATGTGAAAATTAATGGTTCAGTTTCTAGCCAATTTATTTCCAGTTTTTATCTGGCTTTGTTTTATATTTTCACAACCCAGTGGTTCTGTTGACACTGCAAGACAGGAGTCAGTCCCATTCAGAATGTCATGTTTAGATGCTGCAATACGTTACAGAATACAGACAGACAGAAATAGAAAATGGCAAAACATGTACAAAAGTTATCTCATAAACTCCGTCAGGGCATTCTGGGCTTTTCTTGAGCTGGGCAGTATTTTATTCAAACTCTTGAAGCGTACACATCAGTATTTTTTGTTTTACATAATGAAGAGAGTCTGCTTAAAATCATGTTCGTCCTCCAGTACAAACATGCCACAGCAGATATATATCCTATATTTAATCCATTATAATAAATTAGGAGGGAAGGGGAGAAAAGAAGCATTGCAGAAAATCAGGAAATTGCCGATCTTCAACTTCTTGACTTCAAGAACTGTTGGTCTTTTACAAACCAAAGTAAAAGAAAAAAAAAAAAAGTCTCTGTACCTTTGTATCTGGAATCTGCTGGGTGCTAATTTGACATGGCAATGAGATGAAAGTTGGATTCATGCTAGTTTCAACATTAGAGGATTGGAATGCAGCCTGCTTAGCATAGAAGTCAAACAATTCACTGGCAATAGATTGCTTTCCACTTCTAGATCTGCTAAATAAATAGAAAACTAATTAACAGTGTAGTATGGCAGATGTAGCAGGTTTGAATTTCATTAGAGCACTGGCCAAGAACTGAAAGAATCAAGAAGTCATTATACATCCCAGAGTCTAATGAATCTTTCATGCTGTCTTTTCCATGGGACAGATAAAGTACTATTTATGTGCCCTCTGTGTATGAATTTCCTGATATATTTCCACTTAAAATAAGAATGAAAGTGTGAGTGCCTGAAATTATTGCAAGTATTCTTTTCATTTTCCATAAAATTGCTTTGGTTCTGAAACAGCAGGACTGTGTTTCTTTGCCTTGTGCATTTCTGTTCAGCTATTTAAAGCTTTATTAAATATGGTTTTCATGGGGCATTTTTATGTTTCATTATCTATTTCTTTCCCTCTGATGAATAGTGATAACAGGTTGTATCACATACTTTCCTGTAGTAGTTAAGCACAGAGATCACACAAAGGAATATCTATACTCACATTCTGAAAGAAAAATAAATAATTAAAAATAAAAAAGTCATTTAAGGCGTTTATTTTTACACCTTTTACACCCTTTTACACCCTAAACACACATTAAACTGAGCTTCCTATATCCAGAATTGCATAACCAGATTTGGCAGTATTAACTAACAATAAAAGGAGTGTTTTGCCCCATAAGAATCAATAAGATAATTATGTTACTTAGGAAATGGTAGTCATATGATTTTGCTTTCAGTGCATAATGAACAACATTAAGTTCTGTGCAACAAAAAGGTTTTACAAAACAACCCAAGTTACAGAACCTGTCTGAAATTCATCCAGGAAAGCTCAGCTGAAGTCCTGCAGCAACTACCTAATGTCACTACCTCCGGTGTGAATGTCTATATGCTTACAAACACATACACATTTAATCAAGGAGTACATAAATTCTTAAACCATATACTCCCAGAAGGCGGTTTTGGCTGGTGTGCAGGAAATACCAGGATCATTTTTGTATTTTCATATCGGGACCTTGGAACATTTTTGTCACACTCCACATAGCTTCGTTCCTAAGCAAAGAAGAATTAAATGTCTTTCAAGTGGCCATTATCAAGCTAAGTGCTGTACATAAATATGCATGAGAGGTCATTATTGCCAAGAGATGATGCTTAAAAGGTTCGAGTGTCTTTTCCTAAGATTTTTCTACTTGCTCTGTAAGAGCGGAGCAAGTACTTCAAATGTGCAGTTCCATCTCCAGAAAATAATTTCTATCTTTTGGCTTTCACCTCTTCTATTTTGCTGTGGAGACTTGCGTTAGCTCCCAGGTATCCCAAGCCATGGCCTGCTAAGACCATCCACAGGAAAGCATCCTTGTAAGCAGCAGGACTGCCTTAGGGATTACATGTACCAGATCCTTCTCAGTCCCTGGGAAATGGTCAACACCACTGCAGCAGCATAGCTGCCTTAGTCACGATTAGCTTTTTGAGAATGACTTGAATGTGCTATGCTATGAGCAAGACATTTGAAGTAAAAGAGCAATCGTGGGTGTGATAGCAGGGCAGAGGAATGCAAACACACACTCCCAGTGGTTATGGATCACATTCTTCTCTGACAAAGGAAAGACCCTCAGAAAGTCACGAAATGAGTGTATTTAGACTACAAGCCTATAGCCTGCTGGGTGTTTTCCAGCAAAGCTAAGCAGTTACATCTCCCAGTGATTACTGTGGGAGTGGCATACAGTCAGCAGCTCCCTACAAAATTGGGGTAAGGACCTAACCAGCACTGCTTTCAGTGCTTCTATCATACATAGGATACCTATGGCATTAACAGCTACACTTGTCAGGTGCCCAATTTACTGTGTGCTTCTCCATTTTTTCCCCCTCAGTTCTTCCAGTGAGGGTTTTAGTTTCCGCATATGCATGTTAGCTTCATGTGATGTCATTCTCCCAACTGCATGAACCTTTCCAAAAGGCTTATCAAACCTAATACTTCCTTTTTTTTTTATTTTTTATTTCCTTTCTAAAAACATGTGAGTAGAAGGATGAAACACGCCTTCTCAGTCCTTACTCAGCTGCAACAGGAAAGCTCTCTCTCCTTGACACAGTGCCGCCCGGGGACGGTGGCGAGGCGGTCCCTGGCTGACGGTGCTCCTTTTCCGCTGGCCAGTTAGTCACATCCTCTGTCACAGCTGGGTAACTGTGAGGAGAAAATGGGTCCTTCACTCCTGACCATAAAGCTAATTTGTTCCTGTGCCCGCCCCCCTCCCCAGTTTCTGCCATGATTAAAATGAAACCCTGTAATTATTTTATGTTTCATTTTTTTGCTTATGATTTCAATCAGTATTAGTAACGTGGTCTGTGCCCCTTCAGCATCACTAATTCCAGAGCCATGGTTCAACGTGGGAGCATATTGGTTCTTACTCTCTGGTTAATGCATCCATTTCTTGAGTTA